AGGGCCCTGCTTACTTTACATGTTTCAGGATGATGTATGATACGTGGCATGCGATCAGGCTAGGATGACTCTCTTTTCGAGGTATTATGAAGCACCACTTTTATTTTATGGTAGCTATCATGTTCTTCCTTATTTTATTTTGTTGGAATTACTCCAACCGTTAGTTATATTCTTTGGTATATAGACTCCATAGATAGTTGTGAAAGGTTGTAATAACGGGGTTGTACACGACATACATGAAAGTATATTTATTTTACTTAGTCTCATTGTTATTATCATGAAAGTCATCATGTGTGATTTTGAATTGGAAAATATTTTATCATTTAACTTGAAAATGTATATGATTTTCAAGGAGCTTCCGTAGTTATATTAGGTTTTCATGCATATGATTTGGGTGCATCACATGGTTTGGTTCGCTCGGATCGGGTAGTGTGCCGGGTGCCGGTCACGTGGATTTTGGGTCGTGACAGACTGCCATTAAAATGCTTCAAAACTTTGAATACAAAAATGAAATTTCATGAAATTATTTTTTGTTTGGATTGGGTGTTGTTGCAAATGATTGGGAATATCCGTTGGAGTTTATATCTCAAATTTGAAATAATTTGGTGAAGATTCGAGGTGATTTTGGTTAAAATTTTAAATTGAAACTTGAAAAAGAAGACATGAACAAATTGTATATATTTTGTATGTCGAATGTAGAAACGGTATATAAAATATCTACAACTTACATAATTGTATATATAATTGTATATAAATTGTATGTAATTGTAGTTTTTGACCGGATTATGTACAAAAAATGTGTATTTATATTGTAGATAAATTATAGATTTTGACCGAATTTATATATATTTTATAAAAAACTTTTGTTACTTTATGTAAATATAAAAACTTAGACAAAATCGGGTAAATAAGTTTAAAATCTTGTATATATATAAAAAAAAGTCCCTATATTAATACGGGTAAATCATAAGTGTAAATACTAAATACGAAGTCAATATAGATATATATAAAGACTTTAAGTTTTATACATACTGAGTACCGACAATTCAAAGAACTTTTATATTTTTGCACACTTTGTCATGTTATAAGTATACTAATCGTTCAAGTTGCCGTATGGAGATTCACCTATTGTAATAGTTCAACTTGGCTTAGTAATGCATAATTAAAAAAGTTATAGTCGCTCAATAGAATATAAACTCATATATAAGTACTAAACTAAATATGTAATATCTTTTTATATCTCATATATTTTATTTTTAGTCCAATAAATCAAACATTTGCTGATAGAACATATCTCTTTTTTCCTACTAAATATATCTACTGACAAAATATATCTACTTAGTAATTTTGTTATGATTTAATTTCGTATTACAATCCCTACATTATAATCTAATATATGCTATTGAAAAAACAAACAACCCCAGTATTAATGGTAATATTCCGCAAGTTTTTTTCTTTTTTTGAAAAAGAGTCAAAGCAACAAAAAAAAAAACTAGCTAACAATTAAGTGAGGGAATGAAACTCCAACGACATCTCTCCCAACACGCGAAGACATACTAGTATAAGACAAAAACTCATCTCATTTAAAACGAGACTCTTGCCTAAAGACAAAATTAGTTAACCCATGTTACCGAATTAGTAAAAGGTAACGAATAATGCATCTAAGTTTTACACCGAATTATGTAATTAAATATTAAGGGGTCGTTTGGTTACAACGATTAGGGAAGTTATGCTAGTATAAAATTTGAGATTTTACCTTGTGCATCACAGAACTAAACCAAACAAACGACACCTAAGGGGCCGTTTAGTTGGGAATTAAGTTATCCCGGGATTAGTAATTCTGGAATTAGTTATACCACCCTCCCATAGGAAAAAAAAATACTATAATCCCAATATAACTAATTCGGGATCAGTTATACCACTATTTTATCTCAAACCAAACATAGGCTCATCTGAAATTCAATTACAAAATTAATTTTCTTATATCCCTATTACCAAACCAGCACTCATAGTTCAAAATTAAAGTGAAATTTTTACAGGCAATATTCCTCTTGTTCTGTTATCCCTTTTGTCACCTTCCTTACAATTTCCTTTCTATCTTTTTACAGACATATTCCTCTCTTTTTCTCTGTCTTTCTATCCTTTCGTGGGAATCATCTCATTTCCCGTGACTACAAACTCCCAACTCGTAACCCTACTCCTCCATTGAAACACAACATTTAAAGCTTCTAACTTTCCCATTTCTTCCTGTTATTTATCAATGCACCGTTATTTCGCTGTCTCTGGCTAGAGAGAAAAGAAAAAAGATGATGAGGTCACCTCAGGTACGAAACGGCGTCGTTGATACGCCGTCGCCGTCACACTTTCACTCCACCGTGTCCGTACACAAGCTCCGGCGTTTTAACATTTTGATTATCGTCTTCCGATTTGCTTCCTTCTGCTTCTCGCTTGCCTCCGCTATCTTCATGTTTACGAATTCTCGCCGCGGCGGCTCCGATTTTCCTCAGTGGCACCACTTCGACGCCTTCAGGTAACTACAAAGCCTTTTGATAATACGACGTCGTTTTTGATCGCCGGAGTTGAAAATCGATGCATTTTTCGTTCGATTAAACGGGAAATTGAAATCGGACAGAAAAGCAAAATATTAAAACGCGACGATTTTTTAACACTCCAGAGTAGGAATTTGATGGATTGTTTGCTGAAAATTTTGAAATGCTGATAAAATGACGTCGTTTCAGTATTTCGTTGTTCAAATTTGCTGGTATTTTTATAGTTTATATTATTATTTTATTTTTGCTTTTAATAAACTCTTTTCAATCGGTTGAACGGCTTGTTGAAATTATTATAGATTTTAAAAAGAAAACTGATAAAACGCGGCGATCTTAGCACTCTGAAGTCTGAAGCTGAAAATTGATGGGATTTTAGCTGAAAATTTTGAAATACTGATAAAATGGCGTCATTTTATTACTCCGGAGCTCAAATTTGCTGATTTTTTAACTTTTTATTTCAGTTTTGTTTTTAGTAAACTCTTTTCACTCCATTGAACGGCAAATTGAAATCATAATATATCTTATAAACAAACTGATAAAGCGCGACGATTTTAGTACTCTGGAGCTGAAAATTGACGGAATTTTTGCTGAAAATTTTGAAATACTGATTAAATGGCGTCGTTTCCGTTTTTAGTACTCTGGAATTCAAATTTGCTGGGATATTTTTTTTAAAAAAACTTTTAGTAAAAGCTTTTATTTTATGTAAAGGTTTGTGGCTGTTGCCGGTGGAATTGTTGCATTATATTCACTGTTCGAAGTAGGAGCATCCGTTTGGGAGATTTCAAGAGGCGTCACTGTGTTCCCTGAAGCGCTCCAAGTTTGGTTCGATTTCGGCCACGACCAGGTTCGTAAAGTCACTTCATTTTAATCCGTTCAAATTCACTTTATTTAAAAGTTGGACTGCTTTGAACTAAGTAGAATTTTTGAAGAAAAAAGAGTTCGTATTTGGAGTTAAGTTAAAAATTAGTATTTGTAATTTAAAATTATATTTGGACAAGCACTTTATTTGAAAAAAATATTAGCAATTTTGTGAACGGGTTTTTCTGGAATTTTTCGAAAAACTCATTTTAGCTCATCTGGTTCAGCCTATTTCAATCCGAATAATTTTTGGGCGATTAACTCGGTCATTTTGACCCGATTGAAGTCGACTCAATTCGCACATTTGACACCTCTAATGTTGTCTTCAATCATTTTTTGCCTAGGTTTTTGCGTACCTATTACTATCGGCGGATTCGGCCGGAACATCGTTGGCTCGGACGTTGAGGGATATGGACACGTGTAAGGTCAACAATGCATTCTGCGTGCAATCTGATATCTCAATAGCCTTTGGATTCGCCGGGTTTATGTTCTTGGGTTTTTCTTCTCTCTTGTCGGGTTTCCGGGTTGTAAGTTTTATTATCAATGGCTCTCGATTTCATGTGTAAGATAGAGGGGGTTACAAGGTTGGGGTGGTGGAGAAAATTAAAGAAAAATGTAAAATAAATTCATTTTTTTTAAATTAATTTCCCCCCTTTACATTGATATATTTGCTTGTTAATCTTTGAGTAAAATGTAAACTTATTCTTTTCTCCTTATCAAGAAAACTATTATAGGAGTATCGTTTTTGTAATGGTAATAGGAGACAATTATGTTAATAGTGTTGGCTTCTAAGGATGTGGCCTAATGACCCATAACGTTGGTTTAAATACCAAAAACAAAAAATAAAAAATCTCCACGATTTCATCTTACCTATCTAAATCTTAGTTGATTAAAAATACAATGGAATATACTCAAACTAACCCTGACACTACTCTTACAAAAGATGTACGTATAGTGTTGGTAATTACAAAAGATGAGTAAATAAAAGAGAAAATTCGAATGGTCTGGTCCTATATTAAATATGGGTCGGATCGGATAATTTATTTTTTTGCACTACTCATTTTCGACACGCTCATATACGACACGATCCACCAGTTTGCCACCCCTAGTTGTTAGGTAGGGAAAGGCTTTGCTATGTAGGAGAACCAAACTCTAATTACAATCCAGTAATTGTTTAAAGAAGAAAAGCTGTTCTCTAACGAGTATCCCTTCTTTTAAGACCTAAACAATACAAAACAAAAAATGTAGGCAATCAAACAAAACAATTACTAGAAATATTGCTATTCGGATTGAAGAGCTGTTCCTTAACAAAGTTAATCTTGCTCTTTTTCTTTAGCCCTTCAACTGTTTAAACACATTTCCTCTAGATCTCAGGGGACCAAAGTAAAAACTTACTGCTAAACATAATTTTGCATCTTCAAGTTTTAACACTCTAGGTACAGACTCAACTATCACCACAATTTCTTCATATTTTCATTAGACTAAGTGCTGTGAGATTCACAAATTGGGAGAGGCAAGTAAAAGCTCGACTCGACGAGACCAGGAAAAAACTGTATGCTTGGCATCAGTTAGTTGCTTGAGTACTTAGGATCAGCCGCTACATAATGATAAGCAATAACAAAGACGAAAATTAAGATGCCAATGAAGTTGGCAAAGAATCCCAAATCTTGATCATCCATTATCTGCAAGAGCAAATTGAAGCGCCAACAGTTAGGACAAAATGAAAACTATTACATTCAGTTACACAAGTTAGATCTACAACAGCTTTGCAATGCCAAGGGACATAATTCCCTCCAAAACCACAAGAAAGCAAGTGTGCTAAAGAAAATAGTTTATTTCCAGCAATAACCTTTTACTTTTCATCGGTCTCTGCATCTTTTCATGGTAACCATGTAAAGTGACTAAAATATTATCATGAAAAAATCGACATTCAATTCTTTTTGGATCCAGAGTATTGGTATAGCACAAAACTATAAGAACTTCAACCTATGTCTGTGCAAACTGGACTATATCTTTTTATTTCTCTTTTGAGGACAAGCACTTAGGGAAATAACATCTTTCTTATTATTTAGTGCAAAATGGATTTGAACAAGCAAAGATACCTTTCTTACTCCTATGCAACATAGTTATTTTATCTTATTTGTTCAAAAATGAGTTCACTTGATTTGTTTTTACACCCTACTTTCATTGTTT